TTGGTGATGCAAAATAGGGACCCATAATTCTTCTAATTTTTTGGTTTGAAGTAAAGATAACTACTCCCCACAAAAATCCATGACACAATGTGAAGAAATCCCACTATAGTTATAGCAATTAAACCCTCAAAGATACAATCTTGGCAATTATAACCCCAATCTAAGCAAAGCTAATATAGAAAAACAGCAGCAAACTAAAAATTCAGGAAAATTAAATATCAAAATAAAATCTTTCAGCAATTTTCGTACCTTCGTAATCATTGCAAAGCCATAAAAGGTCATACTTTGAACAAGACAACTTACGACGAGCTAACACATGTTGTTTGATTTTTGCGAAACCTCGATTTGAGAAACAGAAATGAGAATCTTTCCTTTTTCCTTTTTTTTATTTTCTTTTTTACTTTTCTTGTTCTTCCCTTGTCTTTTTATCCTTAGAATCGAAGCTGAGCTTTGAATATTTTATATTTGGACAGAAAGAGAAAATGAATTGGAGTTCTTCTGCAGAAGGGAAAAGGGATTTGAAGAGTGCATCAACCTCCGGACAATCGCTCCTTCCGAGTGGGCCCATTTTCAGCTAGTTTATTATATCAAATTCATACTTCTACTTTTAATTGTTTTGTGACCCGGTCAGGCCGACAGGTCGACCTGGGACCCGGTCGACCCATAGCCGAAATTGGTGATTTTCGGGCTGGGTTTAAAAACTATGCTTCTACTTATTTTATGTTTTATTTTAAAGTATTAATTTAAAATATACAAATTTATCTTTGAAAATATTTTCCTTTAAAGGTTGATGAAAGTAGCTATCTGATCATCAAATCTTCAAAATATAAATAAAACACACATGTTTTATATGAAAAGTATACTTTTATTCATGTTTCTTTTGTAAAATATGTCATTTTTATTTAAAAGTATAGATGTAATTATTGAAAAATATGATTGACAAAACATAAAAAAGAATGATATACAAATTTCTTTACATTAACCAAGACTCTGTTTTAAAATCAAATCCCAAAAAAAAAATAAAAAAAAAAAAAGTTGTAATACTCTTGAGAGAGGGCCAATTTATCTTTTTTCTCATAACACCACTATCCAAACTTAAATCTAGAGGCATCATTTTTAGTTAAATATACACAACTTGTTGCACTTCATAATTATTATCACTTTTTGCTGCATAATTTACATTGGTCTTGTTTGGCAATCAAGGATTAGCTGATAGTTGTTATTTGATTGCATTTGTTATTTTAACCAGCACAATTGCATTGGCTGTTTTGACGAGATGATCATATTAGCGGTTTGTAAAAGAATGTTTGGTAAAATTAGTTATTTTAATTACCAAAACTTGACATACTATGCATTTTTTCTTATTTACTATTTTCTCCCTTTTATATTCTCCAATTTTAATGTACGGATCTTCATTCATCAACACACAAGCCCAACTCACACTCAACAAGACTGCAAAGTGCAAGCACATATTACATATAAATATATACTTGCATAGTTGCATGTAACTGAGGCCAAGAAGACCAACAAAAAGCTGTACATAAGATATTACATTTCCAATTTCCAAAACTATTGAGATGTAATGGAGGTGGCACAAATTAAGGCCAAGTCTCATTAAAACTGTTTGAAATTTAAGAAGAAACATTAGGGGATTCACCACAAAAAGCATCAGGCTCAAAGTTTCTTGCAGAATCATCGTTGTAAATTCCGAGCACGGCTCTTCCTCCGGGCTCTTGTGATGTTGTAATGTACTCTGCTTTTTGGGAGCCCTCGGAGCTAATGAGGATGAGTATGCAAACAAACAACGATGACCCGAGAACAATTAGCGTGTTCTTGAGCCGGCCCAGGACTGGCTTCACCTGAAGACCAAAAAAATCATAAAACTTTTTCTTGGGGGGTGAAGGTGATTTTTTATCATTTTTGTGGGACCAAATGGACAAACCCATATTAGTTAAGGGGCCAAAAGTACAAATGGTGGTGAGTTGGGGGTGAGAAAGTGTGGACTTACAGAGAATGAACCAAGAAGCCTATCACGAGCCAAAACTTCAGCAGTCTTTACCCATATCTGTAGGTGACAAAAAACTCTCTTCATCAAATTTAGCAAACTTGGGGGACTCACAAACATGAGAACTCGAGCCCAAGCCCAAGTATGAAGAACTCGAGCTAACTTAAGACCACTAAAATTTGAGGAAATAAGAAAAAAAAAAAAAAAAAAAGTGTACCTGGCCATCATACCAACCTGTCTCTTCATCTGTCGCTCCAAAAGAAAAAAAAGAAATTATTTTTTTTTATTTACAAAAAAAAAAAGGATTAATGACAATAGATGATCAATTTAGTAATTTTTCAATAATAATGGGTGTGTTTGGTAAAACTAGCTGATAAGCTAGCTGATAGCTGATAAGCTAGCTTATAGCTTATATGTGATAAGCTAGCTTATAGCTTATAGCTTATGACTTATAGCTTATAAGCTAGCTTATATGATAAAAGTGTTTGGTAAAAGTAGCTTATAAGCTAGCTGAAATAAAAAATTCAACGAGCTTATTTTGAAACGCTACCTAAACAAGCTTATCAAATAAGCTCGAGCTTTTTAAATAAGCTCGTCCTACCAAACAGGGCTTATTTAATACAGGAAGCTTATAAGCTAATCAAATAAGCTATAAGCTAGCTTATATGTCATACCAAACATACCCAATGACATCAACAATAATTAGTTAATTACGAGATGATAATTTATTAATAAATAATAGTATAATAATAGCTCACATTCCACAGTGGCACTCAATAGCCGGTTTCCAACATAGGCCCAGCCCAAATACATCCTCACCACAGCAAGGATCACCACAAAGAGTCCACTCGAAGCGGCGGCCAAAACGAGCCTAACGGGCTCGGATTTGGGGCCAACCGACCCAAACCAAGAAACGGGAAGGCCCACGAACAGCGAGAAGCAGGCCCCCGTGACGAACAGCCTCGAGCCGAACTCTACAGCGTCGCCGGCGGCCCACGAGAAGGGGAAGGAGTCAGACAGGGCCTGGTACTCGTTA